ATTCACTGAACTGCGCATATAATCAGATTTTTGTATAACCATCAGAGCCGTTTTCGATTTTTTTATCTCTTCTCGGCTGGTTAAATGCGTTCCCAGTTATGGTTTCTGGAGTCAGTCAAACTGCAAGGAGCGAAATTAGACGAATGTAATGGCTGTTCGATGGTATATAAGTTAACATCCGTGTCCTGTCTAATACGGCCCCTGCGCTTAATTTCATTAACGGCAAATCATGCGATATTATTTCGATCACTTGATTGCTACCAAACGGGACATCGACTTGTTGGCTGGAAAAGTCCGGTTTGACATTCGTAGGTCTCAACGTGACAATTTGAAACTCGTTCACTTTTACTTGGACTACAGAACCGCAACCACGTCTTTTGTCTTTACTTTAATAAAAATAAATATTAACATCAAACACGTGTTAAAAAAATAAAATATTTATCATTAATTTATATACTATTCTTTGTCAGAAATTTATGGTACATATAAGGATGGTAGTGTTCAAATATGTTAACCTCTATGTGAATACGTCTCCTGGTAGTAACTTTTGAAAGTGTTACCTCGTGGTAATTTCTAAAACTTTTTGATGACGATTGTTAATGTGTATGCTTAAATTAGCTGTCATAAACTTTTGTTTTTTATCATTGTTTATTAGTTCCTTTTTAATATTTTTTTTTATATTGTATTTATATTGTATTTAATATTTTTTGTGTAATATTAAAATTTTCTATTAACTACTATGACGGTATTATATTGTAATAAAACCCAATATTCAACATTTTCAAAGAGTTGTTTTATACATATTTTATATTATTTTTATGATATATAAATTTTCAATTTATTATGAAAAATAAAAACACAATTACATTTTCCTCATACTTCTACGTTTATGTATAACTATTAAATTCCAATTTTTATTACGATTTCATGTTTATATGGCATTAAATAAAAATCAGAACTTCGTAGTATGTTGGAGCTTTTTTTTTATCCCTTAAAATTTCTTTGTTTTTAAATGTAGTTTTTTATTTTACCACTTTTTTATAGACTTAATAAATGGGAATTATATACTTAAATTTATACATATTCTTCACACAATATACATATACTAGTAAAATTAAGTTCTTCGGTACATTGTCGATTTTATTTGGGTTTTCATTTATATTTCTTATTGTAGAAATAGTTTATAATCCATATGAAAAATTTATTAACAACAAATTTTCATCCAACAAAGGCATTGTTGTTGCTATTGTAACCATAGTTAGGAAGGATAAACGGCATTTAGAGGTCTGTGTAAGCGATTGTCCTCAAGTTAAAAGTTTCGTGGTCTTGGTATTTATTTTATATGAACTTCTTAAAACAACTTATAATAGAAGAATATATAAATTTTGGTGTTTCTTTTTAGAGTTCTGTCTCAGATAACTTTATTATAAGAAGTTCTTAGTTTTGAATAGACGCTAATAACTTTTCTTTATTTTTAAATACACATTAACTGCCTTCAGGTGCTTATTTATTCTTGGTTTTTAAAGACTCTTCTTATTAATTGCTTATTTGAGGACGGATAACTATACCTTTTCTTTACTAACCTACAGTATAAACAGCTTTAAATATTTATATGCCAATTTCTTGGTTGCTACTGATCTTATCTGAAGTTTAAAATGAAAATGTTTGAGAATTTTCCTATTATTTCCCTTTCACACACATCATTTTATCTTTCGATATATGGTCAGTGTATAATATGAAAGGGCTACGTCTCACAATTTTTTATTTTGATGTCACTAATAAGAGCTATGCTATTGCACATCAATACTGCACTTGCCTATGTCAGCTACATATATATATAAAGTTTGTTTTAAAAGATATATATAAATTGTGAGATGTTGGGACAAGGCACCGTCCATCAAGTGGCCCCACTGAAATGAAGAATTAGCCGAAGTAGACCACGAAACGACTTGGGTCCTTTTTTGTCCTTTGATTCTCAGATGTCGTTATAGTTAAAGCTAGAGAGCTTCCATTCACATAACTACATCTCTTGTTATTGCAAGCAGCTCATTTGGATTAAAGTTGCCTGCCAAGTCATCACCAACTCAATGGTGTCCCAAGACAGTCGTCCTCCAGCTTGCCAGTGCTAAACATTGGCACAATATAGGCATAGTCTGCAAATGTCTTTATTAACAAGATCTTAATAGTGGATCTTAGTAGTTCTGCGCTAGTGGAATAAGTCTTTTTTGCTGCTTTTATTGGTAAGAAAAAAAATTTTTATCCTTTGACTGAGTGAATGAAATATATTAACACATTTCATGAGCTGGGGTTATAGACGTACTCATGTATTCGGTTTTGTTTATCTTTTTCTTAAGATTTATTAATCTGAAAACTACGTTTACTTCTAACTGCTGTATTGCATTTAAGAGCCATTATTTCTGGCTTGTTATTATGTGTTTATATTTATTATATATTAAATTTAATTATATAAAAACAATATACATACGTATATTTTTTGAATATCTTGTTCTTGTTTTAATTAAAGTCGTTTAAACTATATACTAATTAAAAAATATTTTTTTTATTGTAGTCAGAGAAATTGCCTTTGTACATCTGGTTTATAGTAAAATAGACGAAATTGTACTTGAATGCCGTGTGGACTGCTCCCACGACAACAGTAATCTCAAAATTGAATGGTTTCATAACAACGATAAGTTAAGTTACTCAAAAAATATTGAATTAATAAAAAATCGTCTTTATCTACGTAATATAAGCATCAAAGATAATGGATCCTACCGTTGTACTGCCAATAACCAATTATGTCATATTAACAGTAAAAATGGATACAAATTAAATCTAGCTGATTTGAAACCTATGGCCGGTCATATTGGTTCCAATTGTATACCACGCATAAAAAAGACGAAGGGTTTTTCCAATTCCTATAATCATACATTTTTATGTCGTGGAAAACGCGGTGGAGCTAGCAGTAACACACCAATTCTTAGGGAAATGAATCAAATCATAGAACAACCGCAAGAGAAATTTGTTATAAAAGAGAATGACCAAGCAGAACTACACTGTTCGTATAAAGCTAATGATAATTATTTAAAAGCGGATAAATTTATACAGTTGCGTTGGCGTAAAGATGGAAAAATTATTCGTCAAATTGATCTTATTCAAAATCTTATAGCTACAGTAGAACCTAATAAGGATTTAATGTTGAGGGAAGATGTGCGTATTATGTTTCATCGAGAAAACGGCTCACTGACATTTAATGGCGTAATAGCAAGTGATGCTGGTCTCTATTCATGCGAAATGTATATTGAGGGCGAAGATGCTGCTCTTCTTAATACCGCTGAATTACAAATTATAGAACAACTCAAGTTTATGCCGCAACCAACAACATCTAAAAACTTAGAACTTGGCTTAGTAGGCAAGGTACATTGCAAAGCTCAGGGTACTCCACCTCCACGTATTAGATGGTTGAAAGTAAGTTGTTTCCTTTCATGTCTGTTGTTTATTCATTTCTTTTTATGTTTTTTCATATTAACATTTACAGGATGTAAATGAAACACTCTCTTCTGACACAATTGAAGACATTAATGGAACTTTAATATTTAAAAATGTCACCGCTATGCATAAAGGAAATTACACCTGTATTGCTAGTAATAGCCAAGGACAAATAAATGCAACGGTCAGTGTAAATGTTGTTGTTGCACCTAAATTTCTTGTCGCACCGGAGGGACCAATAGAAACGGAAGAAAAGGGTATAGTGGTATTTCACTGTCAGGCAATTGGTGATCCAAAACCTACCATTCAATGGGACAAAGACTTGCAATATTTAAGCGAAAATAATACAGACATAAACAGATTTTATTTCCTAGAAAATGGAACATTAGAAATACGCGATGTACAACCTGACGATGAAGGAAATTATGGTTGCACTATTGGCAATAGTGCCGGTTTAAAAAGGGAAGAAGTGAAATTTGTTGTAAAATGTAAGTAATATTTTAATGTTTTTACGTTATATTTATGTATATAAACTGTTTGCGTACTCTTTCTTAGCTGTTGATAATTATTTAGTGGATGGTGAATCGAATGAAGGTTTTCTTATAACACGAGCCGTAATGATTACTATGACAGTAGCTTTGGCTTATATTGTTCTTGTGGTTGGTTTAATGATTTGGTGTCGATATAGAAGACAAGCTCGTAAAGCTCGCTTAGAGGAAGCAAATAAAGAAAATTCAGAAACAGGTGAACATAGTAAAATGGCTGAAAATGAACCATGTCTCACAGAGAGTAATTCCATGAAAAATCAAACACCGTTAAAGACCAAAAAAGTGAATGGTAATAAACACCCACGTAACAGCGGTAATGATCCACAAAAATCAGATGATACGGCATGCAGTAATCATTCTAAAGGTTCGAAATTTTCTCATGCTTTTGATCAGTTAACGCTTCCACGAACAGATATAACTGAACTTATACAAATTGGACGCGGCGAATTTGGAGATATTTTTGTTGGTAAAATTAAAGAAAGCATTATTAAGGAAAGAGATGATTTCGAAAGTGATAGCAAGAAGAAAAATGGATACGAGAATATTAATCAAATAACATCTGGCAATACAAGCACCAATCTTAATTTTGCAGATGAACGTCGATCAAAAACCTCTATGGATAATATTGAAGAAATCAAAGAGGAACAAGAAAGCGGCAATGGAGATACAAAAGCTGCAAATGATAATCACAGATTAATATTGGTGAAAGCTTTAAATAAAGTAAAAGATGAATATGCTTGTCAAGAATTTAAGCGACAAATAGAAATGTTTCGAGCTATAAGTCATAAAGGTGTAGTTCGGTTGTATGGAGTTTGTAGGGAAAAGGATCCACATTATATAGTTCTAGAATATACAGA